CCACCGACTTGTGTTTTTACAACAACCGGCTTGTGTTGGAGGCATCGAGTGTTGACTCAGCGGGCAGCCTTGATCATCCCCGCTCCGCTCTCACCACGCCCCAACCCCTGTTAGCAGGCGTCACAAGACAGCCACCCCACTTTACCTGGCACAAAGAGCCTTCCCGACATTCTTCAACCATGCAACTGCAACCTGGGACTTTGTTCTGTTTACCTATGCAGTATGCAGCCGCATTCATGGCTACCCCTCACCGCACTACTTCCGTCCTCAAATCGGCCGGCCAAACCGGTGAATCCACTCCGTTACCCCGCGTCCCCACATTATACCCAAGCGCCACGGCCGCCCCCTCGAACTGCGCGACGGGCTTTATTACCCTGAAACTCGCGTCAATCGCACCTGAGTGACGAGTCTCAAAGAACTCCGAGCGGAACAGTGTCTGTGCATTGTGCTGGTGCAGCAGCTTCATCATCTCCGGCAGTAGGTAAGGCATGGCGTGGTAGTGGCGGAAGACGGGCGAGCCGTGGCGTGTCCACAGCTCGGACCAGACCTCCTGGTCGTAGGTGCCGCACGAGCGGACCAGCCATTGCGAGTAGTAGTTGAGAGAGACCTGTACACGATACAGCTGATTAGCTGGAGCTCATCCAATGGGAAAGTGCGGGGGAAGAGCCCTACATCAATGCCATAGCTGCCTCCGTGGTCTGCTCTTCTCACCAGTGCTTCAAGGATGGCGGCCACTCCCGCAACGCCAGTACTGTATGGCATCCAGAGCGGTCAGCTGAATATAGCTACTAGGTAGAACTCAAGGACGACCGAGCGAACTCACCAATAATCCGAGTTAGGGAAGACTGGAGTTACAGGTTCATCCAAGCCCATCGCCTGCCCAAAGCTCATCGATACACCACAACACTATTGCAAGATTGCAAGTTAGCCGAGGGATAGAAAGAAGTATTGGGTAGGTGTACCCACCGCATCACTAATCTGCTGCCACCCACTCCGGTGGCTCCAAGGCCCATGCCACCCATAACAATTCTCGCGCACATGTAGGATCCCATACGATCGATCTTTCACCAAATCGAAAACTTCCCGCCGACTGAACCCCAGACGATCCATCACGCCGGGCCGATACCCGTCTACGACGACGTCCGCCTCGCGGATCAACTGCCGCAGTCGCTCGCGGTCGGCTTCCTCCTTCAGGTGGAGCGAGCAGTTCCATTTCCCCCAGTTGAGGTCGGGGTGCAGCACAGACATATCGGTGATCTGAGGCGAGGTGACCCGCATGACGCTCGCGCCAAGCTCGGCCAACCCCCGGGTGATGGAAGGGGCGGCAATCACTCGAGTCAGATCTACAACCTTGAGGCCGGCGAGCGGTCGCTTGGGTGATGAGGGCAGGCTGGGCTGCTCAGGCCACCAGGACGGGGGCTGGGTGGCGTGCACATCCTTCTCGATCTCATATAACCCTACGTGGCTGTTCTGGCGACCGTGCTCCGTGGCGAAATACTCGTCCGAGGTCCATGCGATCGTGCCGGCCTGACGGGTCTGTTCGTTCATTAGGTGGTCCAGCGTGGCGGAGTCGTACTGGGAGACTGCTCCTTGGATGCGCTCGACGGCTGACTGGTAAGTATCTTCTGCGGGTCCCTCGAGGGAGAGGCCCAGCGCTGTCAGGGTTGGCTCGGGGTTCATGCTGCCTGCATGCTGTGTCAATTTGATGACTCTTCGTGCTTATTGCAAGGGGCTTTAGAGGACCACTACCTACCATGCACATGGTAGAATCGACCATCCTTGGTCTTGTAGATATTGGTCGCGAGACGCCGATGATCGCCATCGGTCGCGCGATGTTTGTCCTGCTCGGGAAACAGCTGAGCCATGCTGGAGCCGAAGAGGTTGATTGGTTTTGGCTTGCCGTCAGAATCGACTATCTGTGCAAGTAGCGGACTCATGAAATACAGCGACGCATGGTCTCTACGACACCACACATTGTCAGCTAGATGCAGAGCCTGCGTTTCAGCTAGGTGTGAACTCACGTGTCGATGGTGACTCTGACCGGGTCAACCTGATACTTTCGAATTACCAAGTAATTGACCATGGTCGCTTCGAATGCCTTCAGCGCGGAGATACTCTCTGCAAATCTCCAATTGATGGGGATGCTGGGCTGTGCGGAGCCCTCGAACTGCACATATCCACCTAGCTTCGGCAGCTCTGGGGGAAGATGGCTGAAAAGTGGATTGTTCAGGATGCCAGTCTCGAAGACCTGCTTCGATTCCTGGGGGACCGAGTAGGTGGATGCTGATGGCATTTTGCCTGTTGGGGTTTTCGGTTAAAGCAAGTATATCGGTCGGCAATCGGAAAATCGAAAACAACACTGGGGGGGTCGACGCGGGTTATGAAGGGGAACCTCACGCTTATCATGCTTGACCTCCACATGAGCCCATTCTACAAGACAACAACATCACCCTTGTCCCAACCCCACTTTTCACATCAACCTGCTTGGTTGCACAGCATACGATGGTTGCGTGGTGGGTGCAGCGGCCTGGCGGTCAGTCTCCGGCTGCTGGACAGAGCAACTGATCGGCAGTGTGACCCACTGCGGTTGTGATGGGGTTGCGTGGATAATTTTGAGCTTATGCAGGCTTAGCGAGACATTATTTTTTAACAAGGCACTGTATCACTTCTCGTGAAAGGAGGTCATAATAAGGTTGGTGGCAACCGTCTGTATGGCAGGTCGCGATCTTGGCTCCAGCTCTATCCACACTACTTCAAAACCGCGCAGAAGCGGACGAAAGCCCGGTTAAAGTATACGCAAGGTAAAATCTCTGAGATTAATAAAGGTGAAAGATGTAATGGATAATATTTTTCTTCACAGCAAAACAGTCTAAAATCAATGAAATGCCTCTTCAAGATAGAAAAGGGATGTTCCATCCGGGGATATCCGATCAACCCCCTAGAGCTCGACCTTCTCAGAAGCCTTGCGCTCTTCCCAGCGGTTGAGGATATCCTGAATACTCAAATCAATCGTCAGCTCAGCCTCATCCTCGCCACTATTCACATTAATTGACAACTCGAACGTCCAGCCGCCGGGTGGCGTGAGCTGGACGAACCGCTCCCGAAAGTGCCGGGGCAGGACTTTCTGAAACTTTGCGCCATAGACCTTGATCTTGCGCAGAACAGCCACCACATCCGGAGAAAGGAAAACCTCCTCGAGGAGGTAGTACTCAATCTTCTGCAACATGTCTGCGGGCGTGGTGGTGTCTTCCTCCTCACCGAGGTGCATCACATGGCCGACCACCTGCTCCAGCTTGGGCAGGAGGGCGCGAATGTCCGGCACGAGGCCATCGACGGCGCGCTGGAGGAGACCGTGAGCTCGAGATCGTTCAGGTCCTCCACCGTGGCCTCCTCCAGGAACTCCTCAACCAGAATCGCGGCGAGCAGCTTGCCGAACATGAGATCGCAGACTTCCTCAATCTCCGCGAGATGGTCCTCCGCGCGGCCGGGAAGGAGCGCCAAGAGCTCCAGGACAACGTCGTTCATCAGACGCTCGAGGTTCGTCACGAGGTCGGCGCCGAGAGCGTACGCCTCCGGCTCGGGCTTCAGCACCATGATGCTGCCTTGCTCGCGCAGGTATCCCTGCATGGCGTTGTCCAGCAGAATGGTGTCGAAAGCCGCGGAGTGCGGGTTCCACATGGCGTAGGCGTGATACGCCTCGAGCTCCGCACTGGGTTCAGTACGGTTGGGTATTCCCATTCCAATCACCGTGAGGGCGAAGAGAACGGGGTAGAGGAGCATGACAGTGATTCGAGACATTGTCGCAGGGTTAGACAAGGGTAGTAGGGCTTGGGTGGATAAGATGCACACCGTGACTAGTGTCCGTCGGGTCTGGTGATGGTAGACTTTGACCTTGACGAATGAGCCAGTGATGATCTTGGGAGTATAAAAGGATCGGCAACGGCTGTGGCTTTATACCTGTTGACATTGGCATTTTTTGTTTCATGAAAGATCGACAACCACCACTTTGGCGTAGAATCTCGGGAACACTCCAACGAGGAGTCTTTAAGAATGCCAGGTCTCAGGCGAGTCTTTCAACATCCTTGGCTGTATAGGTTCGACTTTCTTGCAAGAGCTGTTAAGCTTACAACAAAAGGTTTTTCTAATTTGTGCAAGCTTTTAATTTAAGCTATGTCTGTGCTTGATTATGCTTTCTTTGTTCAAAGAAGCACGCTCATAGCCCTAGCAGTAATAGTCCATACATACTTATTCACGGCCGTTTTACTCACACTGCTCTTTCTCCGTCATATCATTCATTGTCATAAAGCCCTATTGTGAATCTAGAAGAAAGAGTATGAGGTCACTAGGAAGGTTTAATACCTCAAGTGCTTCTTACATAGGTATAGAACGCTTATAATTTACATAATGAAAGACATACTATCAAGCTGTAAAGTTGTGATCTGAACGTTTCTTGCAATATTATGTTATGGCTTGGTTCAGTAACGTGAGCCAAAACAAAATGACTTGGGGAAGTATGTCACGCTGTGAGGTATGAAATCAACCCCGGACCTAACTTGTAGGCTGTCGGCCGAATGCATAGCCCAAATTAGATGGAACCCTCATGACTATGAGTTATAACATAAAATACTCTAGTCTCGCAGTCTGAAAGGACGTAACCCTAATCGCAACGGTTGGCTCCTCTAACAGCAGCCCAGGGCTTCAGCAAAGCGATTTGAGATATCAAGAGCAAGTCGTGATCTATCACTGTATGAAAACGTTTCAACCAGCAGGTAGTTACCAGGTACAGGATCAGAAGGAATCCTTAGTCTTCTGTTCTCTGCCATTTTCTCCGGTCTAAAGGGCACAGACAGCTTTCTATGACTGGGGGAACCAGGGAGAAAAGCCTTAGTAGATAAAAAGTTCTTGTTCCCTTTCTCAACTTTTTTATTCTTCTTTCTCGTCTTCTTCTTTCTCTTCATCATCTTCTTTCCACGTCGGCAATCTTGCCAGCAACAATCTACGAGAGCGAAGTTGCCGACACCTATCAGCCCTCTCCAGCTCTCTCCGGGTCTCTCCAGCTCTCTCCAGCTCTCTCCAGTCCTTTCCTGTCTTCTCCGGTCCTCTCCATTTTTTTCCAGTCCTCTCCAGTCCCCTACAACTGGAACATTGCCAAGACCTTCCATCCACCAAGGCTGCGGCTTTCGACGTTGACAAATCAACATTTAATACCGGGAACAAGCATTGTGATCCACAGCCACAGGTAAGAAAATGCTCGCGAGAGTTCAGCAAGACTATTCCCATGCACCTCGAGCGCCCCCCCCCCCCCCAAGATTCAAACTTGGTGCTGGGCTACTTACATTTGCTGACTCATGAGACATTCAGAGACAAACCCAAGACTTTACTCAACCGTCTCAACCGTGAATACCTCAATCAAAATGTCAAACCCAACCCCAACCCCAACCCCAGGTCCGTCCCCCACCCAAAGCTTAGAGTCCCGACTCTAAACCCCAATCAACAAACTAACCACCCCCCGAGCCCACACCACCACCACCCCATCTCCACCCCCAATCCAGCCCTGCACCTGGACCGGCCTCTCAACCCACAGCGCCGACTGGGCCTGCGCCATCAAACACAACCAGAGATACCTCGCCGGCGCCCTAGGCCTCCCCACCACCGCCGACCTCTGGGACCTCATCCACACCGACACCCACCTCGCGCCCGTCCTCCGCGATTTTATTGCCGCGAGAGGCACCTGTTCCGGCGCCGGCGGGTCCCTCCGCCCCGACCAGAAGCAGACCTGTTTTCACACGCTCATGAAGATCGTGGGCGACCCGACCCAGCACGTGCATTTTATTCGTCCCGACACCCCGCCAACCTGGGCGAGCTGCACGACCCGTAAGAAGTTCACTGCCTATGCGCTGCTGTGGTGGGCGATGGCGGTGATGCGCGCGAAGCCGCTGCTGTCTCCCGGCACGGATCTGACACCGGGCGCGGCGCGGGTCGATGCGTTTGAGGTTTTCGTGGCGGCGAGGCTGCTGAATTACGTTTATCATCTTCAGGCTCATGGCGGTGGATTGGAGAGGCAGGCGAGGCCGAAGAAGGTGGTTCTGGCGGTTGATCCGGTGAGGAGTGGCTGAGGGTCTATTGGAGGGGAGGTGGGTTGGGTTGTTGGGTTCTTTGGTGAGGCGATCGGAGGACTGGGAGTAGCCATGGAGAGTAAGTGAGATGACGATGGAGAGTGAGAAGGAATAAGTAAACAGGAAGAATGGCTTTGAGTGTACTTGACAAAATTCGTGCTTTGTGATCTAGATTGAAGAAATGGTAAATGAGATGCGATTCTCTGTTGAGAGTTCTTTGGGCCAGCACAAGATTTGCTCCTCAGTCGGGTTGACGCATCTGACGATTGGCAAATTTGTGGGCACGCTTGCCCTGGAAACTCAGATGTTCTGGCTGAGTTACAGTGTAAATAACGAGATCAGAGCCCAAACCCCGACATGTCTAAGGCAAATTAAGTGGTTTGGAAGAACATTGTGAATTTATTAGGAAGAAATCTGAGGAGTCAGACAACACATTCAAAAGGAAAAGCAATTATATTCTGCTCCTGTCAAATTTTCGCCGGGGGGGAAAGAACTCGATTCACTGACTTGGGGCTAGTCCCAACATCAGTTTATATAATTTACGCATTGATTATTGTCATTTTGGAGACCCTGACTATTGGTCTGCTGCCACTTGAATCCAAAAGAAGACTTTAACGATACTCCCGGACGCAGACAACACCTGGAGTCTATGGGACTGTCATTTTACGCTATCATGGCATATTTGGCGAAGGGTGATTGAAATTCTGGCCGAGAGACGGTAGTCCAGACTCTGGTGTAGTGGTTGGGTTCTGCGATGCCTGAACCTCAGATCGAGGAATGTGCTGTTGCTGTTGCTGTTGCTGCCACTGTTGCAAAGTATAATTGTCGGCAATGCTGTTGTTTCTGGATAGGCTAATTTGCGGTTGCACTGTCAGTTGTGGATTTGATAGTTTTTGTTGTTGTTGTTGCAGCAAGTGTTGTAAGGTATAATTGTCTTTCAGGCCATTATTGCTTGGCATATTCAGTTGAGCAGGGAGTGTCAGTTGTGGGCTAGGTTCTTGCAATTGCAGAATGGAGGGCTGACCCAGGGGAACAACGGGAGGGCCCTGAATGCCGGTCTGGAGATTGCGGGGGTCGCCTGGATAAGGCTGCCCACCGCCGCTCAAACTCCCCATTTGCGGTTGGTTCGAGTGGCCAAACGGCGAAGGGGTGGACTGTATGCCTCCCGGCGCGTATACAGGCTGCAACCCAGCAGTCGATTGCTGAGGAGGCTGCAGGTTGAGCACCCCCGATCCATCATAAACATAGTCGTCTCGTCGTACCATCGAGCCTCGATTGCGTTCCGCGTCGTCTTGCCTATTCTGTGTCGTCCAGATATATCTGCTGAAGTTATCGGAGACCGTGAAGACATTGACAAAATAATTTCTCCGGAGCTCGATCTGGGCCCCCTTCTCCGTGTGAAATGCGGCCAGCGCGAGGGCACTCTGGAAGGCATTGCGGATCTGCCGGCCGTCCAGACAGGGCCCGATCCCGGGCGGGCTTGCGCGTAGAAGATTTCATTCGCGAGGCTGGTCAACTCCCCTTTGTCAGCAACGACCCCGGCCTCGTTCGCCACATCGATGTGACTGGACCAGATTTCGTAGGTTTGCGGCCAATTCAGCGGCGGGTAATACAGTGACATGTGGATCCGGGACTTGAAGGCTTCATCGAAGACTCCGACTCGGTTGGTGGTGAGGAATAAGATGCCCTCGTAGTACTCCAGGGTGCGGAGGAAAACTGATCACTCGGATGGTCACTCAATTAGCGGGCACGTACTTGACCAGGATTACCAGTTCAATCTTACCAGACACCAGCGCATTTCTCTCCACGTCATATGCCCGGCGTTGAGCCAGGAACACATCCGCTTCATCCAGGAGCATGATGCAGCCCCAGTCCTGGGCGAGACGAAAGACTTCCTTGAGCTTCTCCTCCACTTCGCCTGCAGTAAGTCCAAGATCACCACATGTTACAGGGAGTAGAGGTCTGCCATTACTTATTGCCGCGCACTCTGATTCGGAATTGTCAGGGCTTGGACCTATAACAGACTCAGGAATCTTGAGGACATACCAGCTGTCGACGTTTTCCCGACGCCCGGGACCCCATGTAAGAGGATCGTTACTCCATTCCCTGCCCCCAGCTTTTAGCGACGACACTGAAAGGACAGGTAGAGGGGTAAGGAACAGATGGCATACCTTTGTTTCTCAACAAGTCAAAATGCACACCTCCAGATTTCTGTTTGGCAAAGTGCGAGTGGATCAAGGACTGCACTAGATCCTTGTGGCCATCTGGGAGGCGCAATTTCAACCAAGGGTTGTCTTTCTTTGGTCTCTCCTGCAAGCGCTCAGCACCATTAGGTCCACGCCCGATCCGAAGACAAGCTGTTTGGACGGCGAACCCCATATGAATTAGCGAAAGAGCACCATGCAATCGGGGCCAGTCTCTACCAAGTACGTACCCCATCGTCTGGTCGACAGCACGAAGGCAAAAACCCGGTCGGGCAGAATCATCAGATCATCACCAGTTGGCCCGCCTCCAGTCTTGACCCAGGAGTCCCACATGCGGTTCTGGGCGTCCATAAAGTCATCCGTAAATCGCTTATCCCAGGTCCCATCCTTCTCGATCCAGAGTGCTGTTCCTGTCTCAGACGTTGAGGTTTCCCCAAAGGCATGATCCACCGTCACGGGGCGCCACCAGGGGATTTCCCCCAAGGCACGGGTGAAGTCCACAATCACATCGCTGTCGATCTGTTCCGAGTAGCAGGAGGCGCTCCGGGGGATTTTGTCGACTAAGTCGGTCAGTTTGCGACCAGAGGGGTCCAAATAGTGACATCTGCCACTGTAATTCAGATGCAAAACTTTCTGGGTGCAGTCGACGAATTGCTTTCCCCGGGCCATGAGGTGCGCTCGGTCGGCGAATCCCTCCCGCTCCGCTACCGGGAGCGGGAGCACGGGGAGCGACTTGGCGGCCTGAACGCCATCAAAACCACTAATTTCGAACTGACGGAAGACAGGAATAAATCGAACCCCGTCGAAGTCCAGATAGAAGCAGTCTAATACCAGGGGAGTCCAGCTACCAATGCTTTTTTCGTCGTTGAACTGCTCGGAGGTTTCCAGGATTCGACGGCCGCCGGTCCGTTGCACCACCTTCCAAATCTTCTGGGGAGGGCTGCTACCTTTGATGTAGACCAGAGAACCTTGAGCAAAGACGAACCAGAGATCAACAAAGCGTACCATGTCTGGAGCAGCGGCCAGGTGCGTTTGTGCTGGACGAAGGGTATCATCCATGAACTGCACCAAGCAGCGACAATCCATGATTAGAGCCGTCAGCTCAAGGACCCCGAGCTCTGATATATTATGTTTCGTGTAAGCCATGTCTACCACTGGAGAATCATGAAGAGCCTGTATATACTCCTCTTCGGATGAGTCCTGTAGTTCTTTCCGAATCGTTTCGAACTCCGCCACCTTAGACCGAATTGGCTTGTCAAGATAGAGTAGCAGTTTGAATGGTCGGAGAATTGACAGGGGGCTCTGACCATTGTAGGGCAACTCCCCGCTGCAGAACTGATAATCAAGAAAGCTCTTAAGCCGATGGCAATTGAGGCGAATTCGTTCAGGCATGGTGTTCAGCGGCAAACAGTCTGTGGCTTCTCCGGCGAGGATGGGTAATTCCATATCCGATGCTAAAGAGGCACCAAGTTGCTGAATATCGCCAGCCGTTGGCTCATTGTACGGAACCTCAACGGCAAAGCGCTTCGGGGGCGGAGTCCTAAACAGGGCCACTTCGGCCCAAGGCAGATGACGGATCTGTGCCATAGAGATCTCCATTTCCGCGGTGTCTTCCTCCTCGTCTTTATTTGACTCGTTCTCCTCCTCCCCCTCATCCTGTTCCTCGCCCCTATCGTTCTCGTTCTCCTTTCGCGGCCCATCGAGTAGCGCGGCCAGCGACTTGTTCATTTGCCGCAGCATCTGCATCTCCTCAAAGAGACTGTGAGAGATGTCTCGTAAGGCATCTTGCCAGTCAAAGCTATGGGCCTCCACAACTTTCTGAGTCCGGCTTTCCAGCTCCTCAAACTGCGAGAGCGAGCGTTTGCTGGTTTCAAACCACTCCTCCACTGTTGCCCGTGGAATTGCATCAGGCGGGGTTTGATCGGTCTCTGACGATTGATCCTCGTGTCCGAGTTGGAGGGTAAGGTCAACCTCCGTGGTAGTCAATGTGGTCGTCATGATTCCAGGTGTACCTCAGGGGTCAAAAAACAGCGTAAAAGATGGGCAACCGAGTTGGAGAGAAGCCAAGGATCTGTCTCCATCAATGGCAGGCAGCTTTATAGTTCAGTGCCTAGTCCAGAACCAGAAGCTCGCTCAATATTCCAAGCTACTATAGGGATGCTCAGCTGTGCTCAGCTGCTGCATATACGACACTGTCAAATGAAGCGATTGGCGGTCGACTAACATATGCAGTGTGCCGGTGTGACCGGACGTGCTGACGTGCTGACGTGCAGATTCATGCTGAGATATGGGAAATGGTTCGTCCGCTCGGACCTTCTCCCGCATACGTGGGAGCAAACAATGTTTAGGCAGATATGCATGCGTACGGTGCCGGCGAACTCCGGCGAACCAGGTGGCATGCGAGTCTTTTCCGCGGGGTTGACGAGGAGCGCCCATCTCACTTGGACCCCACCTCCGCAAACCAAGACGGGCTCTCATCTGAAGCGGACAGCGGCGGTCGACAATCTCAGCTCGCTCAACCACAACATGCGTTTATGAAACATTTTCGACGTATCTTTCCATACCATGGAACCCGCAACAAGAACCGTCACGCCCTGGATCCAACACAATGCGCCCAAGATCGACCCAGCTTGGGCGTTTGCCGAAGCACAACGGCTGAGGAAGCAAAAGATCCCGGATCCCCCGGCTCGGTGAGTCGTTCGTCAAGCTGAGTTGGAGTGAATGTGTAGCTGAAGGCATGATCCGCGTCCACGTCCAGTGTCGCAAATCGGAAGGAGCGATTCAAGAGCACCATGCGGGCATACTTCAAAACGACGGGAGACAATCAGGCCCAATACATCTTCGAACACACCCATACATGGGAAGAGGTCCGGAGCGAGGCACAGAAAGCGCTGGACCTACGCTACCGGCAGAATGGGAAGAGGAACTTCTTCCGCAAATCGATTCGACTCGTTGGGGACGTGGCTTCCCGGCTAGAGTTCCTGACGCAGCTAATCCCCAGCGGTGATTATATGGGAGTTCTCTGCGGAGGGCTCAAACTCATCTACAATGTGCGTCCGGCTTCTGCTGTGTGTCTGTCGCATTTGAGCCTGGATTTCCCGCACAATTGTCCCCCTTGCTCTCTCGCGATATTGATCTTTCTTCTATCCAGGCAGCGAATCGCATGAGTGCCGTTCGCGACCTCATTCTCGGGTCGTTGGATAGTCTATCGCAGCCGATTGAGGATGCCTCACCCTACCTCTATACCTACGCTTGGAGCGAGACGCTTCTGGAAAAGGCGCAGGACCTCTATATGAGCGTCCTAGACGCGGTCGAGGATCTCACGCAATGGATGGCCAAGACTAGAGGAGGTAAGAGATGCGTTCTTGCCATTCTGACGGCGTGTCTCACTCCCGCGCAGTGGTGCGAGGTACCTGGGAGAGATCCAAGGCGTTCGTCCAGCAGGACGACTACGGGCAAGATCTCGAACATCAGATTGTCACTCGCGTGGGAGAAGCAGCGAATGCATTTGAGAAAGCTGTCAAAATCTGCTTGAACACCGAGGTCCATGATATGGGACAGAACGTGGTGCGTTTAGGCAAAGGACAGGACGAAATGATAGACGGGATGAGAGACGTAAAGCGGATAGCCGCAGGCTCGTGGGAGAGAGTTGAGGCAATTCTGCTGGAGAGGTGGAAGCAATTACAACCGAGTGAGTCCAGCATGTGCTCCATTTCTCAGAAGAATTGGCCTCCTTGGTGCTTACTACTGATTTTTTTGTCTAGTGGTTGATGACTACAACGCCGCGAAGGCTGCTAGGGCCGCGCGGGTGTCCATCACCATCGAGCAGCTCCTCACTGCGCTGCACTTCGCGAATCCATTTTCCGAGGTCGATATCGTGGATTGCACGGTCAACATTGTAGCCACTGAGCGAACCACATTACTTCTCTCCGGTAGACTCTTGGACGATGATGCCCAAGACCAGGTAGCGGGTGTGCTGCAGGATGCCCGGTTTCGCAGCTGGCTTCAGGACATGCGTTCCGAGGTCCTGGTTGTGTCACGCATGGAGGAGGACATCTTGGAAGAGGGACCCGTCTCGCCACTGACCTATCTCTGCTCCGTGATGATCAAGACTCTTGCCCCCGCCGAGCGCGTGGTGCCGATGGTATTCTTCTGTCGCCAGAACTGCGATTCTCAAGATAGCTTCGCCGGTGCTGCAGGAATGCTACGGTCGCTCATCGCCCAGGTGATCCTCAACCTCTACGAGACTCACAGACTCGATCTCACGTTCCTAGTTGAGGAGCATCTCCATACAATCGCGACGCAGGATGTGTCCACCCTGTGCCATCTTTTCGCCGAGGTAGTCAAGAGGGCCCCCGCCGGGATCGTTGTTTGCATGATCGACGGGGTGGACTTTCTGAGCAATCAGCTTAATCTGTACTGGGTGGATGGGGTGATGCGGTTTCTGAATAGCCTTCTGGGGGTCGTGGCGGGCAGCCGGTCGGATCTTGTATTTAAGATCCTGGTGACCAGCCATCGAGGAGCCAGTCTAGCGTCGCAATGGTTCCCTTATCGAGTGGAGCTGCCCATGCTTAGTAGCGAGACAATGTGCGGTCTCGGGCATGCGACTGGAGAGATGCAGTCAATCTTCTAGCAGTGTTGCCACTGCCCCTGTAAGAGCAATTTTAGTCGCAACACGGTGGCGGATCACACGATGATAAAAGAGAGCCTTCAGATAGCTTCTGAGATATCCATGCAGCAGCGAGACAAGTTTCAACATGAATCATAAGCTTTCTATTTCTTTGTTACCACTTTCGGAAGTGCGGACCCATGCCTACCAATCTCTAATTCACGTACCAGCAGCCGCACGAGCATGAGTCAGAAGACAGGTAACTTAGCGAAAGTCGACTAGGTCTGAGATAAGCAATAACATCCTTTCTTATAGACCCGTTGTCTGATAAGCATTGGTAAGCATGCGGCTCCCGACCGGTACACGCTAAGGATCATAGGCTTGGGGCCGATGTCAATAAAGCCCGGTATATCCGAACTGTCCAGTGCAAGGCAAATATTACTACATGAGTGACAATAATCATTCACATAAGATCACTACACCTCTAGCTCGTCTAGCACGCTATGCTTATTGTGGACGATCCATTATTCGCCCAGCCCCTTAATCACCGTAATGTCAATTGAAGGGCGCTAGTGCGCGGACGTCAGTCGAAGGGCGCGCGTCTCCGCTCTACTTAAACCCGTTGATCGCCGTGCAGCACGATACGCCTCATCTTTATCTTCATTTCCTTTGATTTGATTTTCTTTTTCTCCTATTCCACATCAGATTTGTCCACCATCGATCCAGAACAACTCCGCCGACACTCCCCCCTCCCTCTCCTCCAATCAAGCCCCGCCCCAACCCCAAGATGGCCCACTTCCACTTCCGCCTCGCAACCGCGGCCGATGCCCCGCGCCTGCGCGACTTAATCGAATCCGCCTTCCGCGCCGCCGACACCCGCGCCGACTGGACCGGCGACCTATCCCTGGGGGCGCGCTTCCACGTCCAACTGGACGACATGCTCGCGCGCATCGCCAACCCGGACGGCGCCTTCCTCGTCGCCACCACCACCACCACCACCACCACCACTGAACCCCAAGACGGGGTCCAAAAAGACGAGGCGGAGGAGGTAGTCGCCTGCGTCAATATCTTCAAGAAACAGCTCCCCGATCGGGACGCCGTCGCCCGCCTAGCGCTTTTGGCCGTCGATCACCGCTATCAGCAGGGCGGGCTCGGGCGGCGCGTCATGGTTGAGGCGGAGAAACTCTGCCGGGAGATGTGGAGAGTAAGGAGGGCCGGGCTGAATGCGCTGGATACACGCGTCGCGTTGATCCGGTGGTATGAGCGCTGTGGGTATGTAAGGACTGGGGAGGTGACGGCTATTTCGCTTCCGCCGGATGAGTTGAGGCTTGTGGAGTTTGAGAAGGAGTTGGCGGTGGGGGTGGTATGAGGTGGTTGTTCGATAATGGATTTAAATATGTTGGGCTATTGAGCGGATTGATCAGTGTGGGCGTGTGGTGTGTGGTGGGCTGATGGAGGTTGTGTGCTGCGATTATGGGGGGTTTTGGAAGGGATCAGTCTGTCGGAGAGAGTGTGTGTTTGGTGGTTCATTTAGACTTGGTGTGTTTAGGGGGTTGCTCGTGGAGGGCAGCACTGGGAGTGGTTGATATTTCAGTGTCGAGATGAACATCTGCACTTGTCACGCATATTCGATAATCAGAGGGCCTGTGACACCATGTAGAAGTGGTGATGACTATGATAATTACGACTACGAGTGGACTTCATGCCGTTTAGGCGGGTCGTTAAGTTCTTAAAGTCGATGGCTTTCTCAATCATCATTGGGGGCTACACAGACCAATAAATACTATGGACATCATAAGATATTCGGAAGTACCAAAAGATGATAGCATTCTTCGTTAATTGAAGGCTAAGTCTTACTGAGTACAGCAGAGCTTGGGTCAGTCTAACTGGTGCGGTGAAGGATTCTCTCATCTAGGCATAAGCGATACACCAGTGACTGGAAGTAGACCCAAAGATTCGACAAAAACTTGAAAACATTACTACCGAGGTTCACAAATCGACAAGAAATCTCTGCGAAGCTCCGCAGGTCAGATCCCAGCACGCAACACAAAACCGAATAACAAAAGACAATCTCGTATACACATGAACCAGAAACTACAGTTTATCAAATACTTCAATAGCAGCTAGGGCGGTCGACGTCGCACTCGCCGGGTTCTGCCCTGTCACCAGCCGCCCGTCCACCACGTGGAAATCATCCCAGATGCCCGCGGATCGTTCATCTGTTCAACCCAGAAAATCAGCTTCTCAATCGGAATCGTAGGAACACGAATGAAAGGAACTTACACTTCGCCCCTAACCGCTGCGCCAGCTCCTCCACCATCTCCGCTCCGAGCCCGCGCAAGTCCGCCATGACCCCCATCGTCTCCTCGGCTTCAGTCGTGAACCCCGTGATTTTCCGCCCCTGGATGATCGGGGTACCTGTCGCCCGGTCGCGCAGGTCCGCAAAGATAGCGGGCCCGTGGCAGACGGAGGCCACCACGCCGCCGGCCGCCCACACCTGCTCGGCGATCTGCTGCAGCGCGCGAGCGGTGGGGTAGTCGATCAGCGCGGCGTGGCCCGCGGAGGCGTAGAATAGCCCATACTCGGCCGCTGAGTCGGCGAGGATCTCGGCGGCGGGCCGCATGTGGTCGAGCTTCTGTCGGAACTCGCTGTCCACGTCGTTCCAGATGGCCAGGTCCTCGCCGTGCAGGAAGTCGGGTTGCTGCGAGAGCCAGTCCGCCGTGTAGCTGCCGGTCTCCGAGGCCAGATCGACCTCAAATCCGGCCGCCACGAGGGCGCGGTAGGGGTGCAGGGCCTCACTAATGAAGAGGCCGGTGCGCTCCTTGCCGTTAAATAGAGTGGCGGTGGCGGAGGTTACTGCAATTAGGGCTTTGCGGGCAGGCATGTTTCCGATGGAGTAAAATTGTGAAGGGGAGGAAAAGAAAGATGTGTTCTGTCTGAAAGGTGCTGGATATTGTTGCTTTGTGCTTCTGTTCCTTGTTTATTTTTATTTTTATTTTTTTTGCAATCGGGGAAATCTTCCAAGCTATTTATGCTTGCTCTCGTTGAATACGAGGAGACGCGGTCAAGGCGTGGGACATCCGGAGTTGCGGAGCTGAGGAGTTGCGGAGTCCAGCGGCGGCCCGGAGATTGCATGTTATCGATAAGGATTCGCGTTGCATCTCCCCGCAACTCCGTCACCCAATTAATTAGTACTGATGCTCATTCACGTGATGATGCGAGCGCGCTTCACTGACAGACACACCATCAATCCGCGTCAGCATCTCACCCCTCATCAATCCTGCTACCACACCGATCCTTGGGAGTCGATGAGCACGTTCCAGACTTACCACCAGTCATGAGTGCTCCAATCACCAGGCTGCCCAATACCCATCGTCCTCGAAAGAGCCAGCAGAACCAGCAGCAGCAACAGCAGATCCTCCAACGGCGCAAACGGGCGCAGGTCGCCCGAGCGTGCGGCAATTGCCGTGTCCGCCGGATCCGATGCGACAACCAAGTCCCATGCTCCAACTGTGCCCTAAGCCGGACGGCCTGCAGCAACAGCAGTGCACCCGTCGCGCTCACCCTGTCCCAGGCCAACCAGGAGATCGCCTTGCTTAAACAGAAAGTCCAACAGCTTGAAGCCGAGCTCGAAGGCTGCACTTGCAGGAATCGAGACAACCTTGGACCCGACTTAACCTTGCGCAAGCCGCCAATCGAGATCCAAGTTGAGCGACCGGGGAGTGAAACCCACCAAAATGCCACCCCGCATCCTTCCTGGGGAGGGATCCATTTTCGACCGGCACGCTCATCCAACAGTCTGTGGCTGGGCCCGTCTTCGCTGTACTCGTACATCCAGCGGATCAGTGGCTTTCTGAGCCTGCAGTTGGACCAGGAGCAGCCCGCGCATCAGCTGCTCCCGATCTCCGCCAGCGACAACAAGCTTCTCGACCGACCCACCACCGACCCGACGAAGAGCCTGAACCCGCTGCCGAACACCACGGCCTCTGTCTATCTGACTCCCCTGCAGGAAGACTTTTTCATCAACTACTTCTGGCAGACCTACCACGTTTCCCTCTTCCCCATCATAAACGAAGCGCACTTCAAGCAACACTACGCCAGTCTATGGACGGCAGGCGGGAAGGAACGGGGACCGTCGGCGCTCGTGGATATCGTGGTGGCGATGTGCATGCAGTACCACATTTCCACGCTGCCGGCGGATTCGCAGAGCGGGCTGTTGGACGGCCAGGACGCCCTCGTGGCCGGCCGATGGCACTATTGGCGAGGCCAGACGCTGCTGGCCTACGAGCTCGAGAGCCCCTCGATCGCCACGTTGCAATGCCACCTGCTCTGCGCCGTCTACCTCTGCGGGGGCTCGTTCCACAACATGATGGACAGCACGGTGAGTCTCGCCGTGCGCACCGCGTACATCCTAGGTCTGCACGTGGACCCGCCGGAGAGTCTGCCGGAACCCGACCGCGAGCTGCGGCGGCGGCTGTGGTGGGTGGTCCATCTAATGGACACCCGAGCGGGGATGAAACTCGGGCGCCCGTTCATGCTCCCCGACCGCGCCCGCCAGGCCATGCCCCAGCTCCCCAGCGACTCCCTCGCGACCGCTGCCGCGTCCGGCTCAGCCTTCGTACCGATCGGCGAGGACGCGACCTGGTTGAGCTTCAACCGGTACCAGACCACGCTGTACATCACCATCCGCAACGCCTACAATGCGCTGTTCACCGCCGATCTCCATCTGAATGAAGATCAGACCATCTGGGATGATGCGGACGCGCTGGAGACCGGCGCCCGGATCCTAGCGCAACATGCCCCGCGCGTGACCGAGTGGGCGGAAAGCGTCCCGCGCGCCCTCCGGCTGCAACGCGAGGGTACGGGATCGGACCGAGCCTTCACGACCAGCGGCACGCGGCTGCTGCTCGAGCCGTTCACCCCACCGTGGCTGCAGCGGCAGCGCGTGCTGCTCGAGCTCACCTACCACCACCAATGCGCCAACCTATACCGGCCCGCCATCTCCTTCCAGTGCCGCCCGCCACCGGGCGGTCACGCCGAAGGGCTGGCCCAACGCTGCGCCGCGCACGCCATCGCCGTCTCCCAGATCCTCCGCCAGGTGGTGGAGGAGACCTCCCTTGTGAACGGGTGGCACGAGGCGTTCTACATGCAGTGGAGCGCCGGAATGACCCTGCTGGGGTTCCTGATGATCTACCACCACGGGCCAATGGCGCCCGACGCGCGGACCGCGATCGGGCAGGCGGTCGCCGTGTTCGAGCGCTTCCGCGCGGGATTCCCCGTGGCCGGCCACGCAAGCAGGATCCTGCAAGGCCTGCTGAGCCAGGTGGATCTCGTCGCTCGAGCGGGTGCGGAAGTCCGGCAGCGAGAAGAAGAAGAAGGGCGGGGCCTCGGGGACGGCGACCCGCGCCCGTCTGCCTCCGTCTTCGATGCTGCTTGGGACTTGCCGCAGGATCTCGATGCGGATTGGCTATACCTGGCTGGGGATCTGGATTTCTGGAATCAGATCGAACTGCTGTGGCCTAAGGCTTCGGATCAGTTGGACTTGACTACGTTCGAAGGGGGACCGTCTCCTGTTTGCCAGGGAGTATTAGAATAGTATCTCAGGCGTTTGCCGGGTGCATGCAACATGTCCTAGAAGCAGTGATTGATATAGAAATAGAAAAAAAAGAAGCAAAAACATACAACAGAAGGGATTCGCTGGTGGTCACCCACCCAACTACTAACCTCCCGGCGTGTGGCTTAAGTACGGCTGAGCGGACGGGAAGCCCTGTTTTCCACACCCTGTGGTCGTATGTACCGGCTACTTAAAGGGAATAAAATATATTCAATAATTGCCAGACGGAAAGGGCAAGGGACTCGCAGAATCACTCTTCTTCGAGGCAATCGGTCGGTCGTCGGCCCAGGGCTCCCCCTTTCCTATCCAACAGAAGTTTCCTTGAATGAAGTTTCCAAGCACATGATTCTATACAATCATTACTCTTAGCTCTAAGGTTAGAATAAATATATTCATATTTGATAAAGAAAGAATACGAGTTACTCGTATGGTCAAGGATTGGGGCGCCGGGGCGATCGCATCCCACATATCAACCTCAAAATCTGACCGCGGAGAAGGAAAAATCGATAAGAAATAATGCACGTCACGCGATGCAGATATTCGCAGTAGCAGCGAATTGACTGAAGATTGATCACAGTCCCTGCAAACCAAGAAGTGCATTTCTAAAATGTCTATCGTGTGAACGGGCGCAAATGCCTATCCTTGGTCGGAAGTATATATCTCTTGCCACATCGCACGCTGAAGATTAATGCCTTCTAGGCTGATTATATGAAATACGGCTTTCAACACACTGGATGGTTCTCATTGTAAAGCTTGGATACTGCTCATCAAGCATCTCAATTACAATTATTATACACTGCAGTGATAAATTACCTACCCCCAAGCTGCATTTACGTTTTGTAGACTCTTAGTGCCTTTATACAGTATTTTGGCGCTGGTACACATCTCTGGGGTCGACAGCCCTACTGTTGGGCTGAGGTCAACTGCTTTATGTGGTCATGGTTTATCCCAAGCCGACGCGCTGAAATTGACTTTCTCGGAGATGTGACGTGTTGTAGCGACTGAGGGTCAGCCTATGCCCAGAGAAAGCCACGGGAGCTGCGATCGTGGACGGGGAGTGATTTTCTCTCACCCTCGCGATTCGTGTTCGCCAGCACGATCAGTTGCAGGCATCTTATGCACACTCTACGGCTAACATCTTTGCCTGAATGCTAATGGAAAGGCAACTTTTATGCAGTAAGGACCGTGCCATTGAAAGTAGAGAACTCGCGACTCTGCAGAGAAAAAGACATAAACCGACAGAAAAACAAACCTATAACTAAAGCAAGGGCGAAAAACAACACTCGGAAACGATCGATCGGAAACTTAAACAAGACAAAGCCCCCTTGCAAATCTCTCCTCCATCTCTTCTACCACGTCTCTCAGCGGAAACAAACCACCCATGCGCGGCCTCTAGAAGTCCTTGAGGTAGTCACCGATGAAGTGCTTGAGGATATCCTCGACCTTGGAGACGTCGGAGTATCCGAGGCTGATGACGAAGTCGGCGCCCTTGGAGCCCAGGGAGGTCAGGGTGTTCTCCATGAAGCGGTGCTGTGAACGTGTGAGCTTATACAGAGTGCGGACGCCTTCCCATTGGGGCAAAGCCTTGACCGAGGGATACCCACCTGATAGGGCTTGTTGGACTTGTCGTGGTAGACCAGAAAGCGGTTCGACTGGTCCTTCTTCTGGCCGTACTGGAACTCGTCGCTGACGACGACGGTGAGGTCGTCGCCGTCGACCTTGCGCGACTTTAGCTGCTCAAGCTTGCTGGCCTGCACGAAGATGACGCCCTGGTCGCCAGCTGGAGGGATGGGGGAGTTAGTCAGTTACCAGCGTCGGTGGCATGTAGCAACGGCTCTGAGAAGGATTGAGACATACGGGTGGTCTTGTTGGTCCACTTGCAGATCCAGTAGTCCTCGTGGCGGTCGCGGAAGGTCTGCTGCCACCGGACGGTGATCTTCTTGCCCTCAGCGCCGCCGAGGAACTGGGTGGGGATGGTGATGGTGTTTCCCTTGGAGATAGGCATGGTGAAGAAGTGAGAATGGGATGGTAGATCAAGGTGTCTGAAGAGAGTAGGTTTGAGTAGTTGAGACGATGAGATGGAAGCTGTTGTTGATGAAAGACTAACCCAATGCCGGGGAATATCCCCCATTATATAGAGCCATCATTCAGCTGGATTGAGAGAATGGCGTGCTGGGGAGTCGGCGATGCCGAATCACACCATGCGTCCCTCGTCGTCGACTTGGAGCTGCAGGCAAGTCAACCCGAGTCGTTGCCTGGAAGGGAGATGGGGATAGAGAGCGCAGCTGAGGTTCAGCCGCAATTCAGCTGCGCCGTGTCGTGAAGCTATCGTGGGGATTGCGGGTCAAGGAAAGTATAGACGACATGGGATCTTGGATGGAGGATCGGTGGTTACTGCCCGGGCCGGTGCCAAGATTCGGGGGCGAACCCTAGCGATCGGCAGCAATTTCAGGCGAGCATCACTGGGGCAGCCCGGACACCTTACCCTAACCGGGGGACCGCCGTGCGAACTACAGATCCACTTCTCCGGCCGGACGATCGAGACCAGGTTTCCCCTCGCCAGAAGACTGTACCGCCACTGTGGCTGGTCAGTCGGATGGCCATTCTTCAGGCAAGCCCCCCAGCCAAAAACGGCCATACATGCCGACAGTGACTCGCACAATCGGCCGTGCCGTTCGTTAGGACCTGCCTCGGCTCTGACTTGCCTCCGTGGGGTCGCAGCTGCAGGAACCATGGGGTAGAAAGTGCCGACTTGCTTCTTGGCGCTGGTAAATGGTCAGCTGCACGGATCTAGCGTCGGTGCATGCACCAACATGCGTCGATATGGGTAGCCGAGCCCATGTGATCGCCTTGCTAAACGAGAGAGTCGGTATCCACGCCCGCAAATTAATCGCTGCGCTCCTCGAGCCTAGGTGCTCCTCTACTGAAACGCGTCCGGTAATCGAACACCCCTGAGCGAGACAGGAGTTGCAGCAGCAACGGAGGCAGCCACCCGATGTCGCAGCGTTATAAACCACACCACAGACCAGTCAAAAGTCCACACCAAACGAAGGAGTTCTCGAGCCCCAGACAATCCCCAACAACGTCATGGCGGGCGACAATATCTGGGAGGATGAAATCTTCGCATCCGTGGCTCGTGACCGGCCCAACCCTACCTCCCGCTCCTCCTCCACCGTATCCCCCGCCGACCAGGCCGCCCCCTTCTTCCAGTCGGTCGGCGACGTCAGCCTCAGCGACGCTCACCTCGCCGCAGCCGGAGAAGAGGGCGAGCCCAAATTCACCGGCTGGGACGGGTTCTGGTCGGATCCGCTCTTCGAGAATGTCGCGGGTCGGCGCGACCGCGCCGCGGGGCAGCAGGACCGCGAGTTCTGGAAGTATGAGCTGGACGAGGCGATCCCGCTGTCGAGTCTCTTTCCCTCTCTCGACTCCGACGCGTGGAACGAGCTGCGGTTCCGCAAATCGGCCATCGAGTTCTGGTCGCGGCCTATTGGGACGGAGCCCGCCGGGCTGTACCTGCGCACCGAGATCGAGCTCAATGGAGCGCTAGACGGCGTGTTCCAGGTCTTCCGGACCGTCCTCGGGGAGGCGGTGCAGCCCGTCCTGCGGCTGTCGGCCTATCTCGGGGTGACCATGGAGCAGGATCAGACCATGGCCATCGACGGGGTTTCCCTGTCTGGCAGCTTGATCGGACTGCGGACGCCCCTGCCCCCGGTGCTGGAGCTGGTCACCATCCTGTCGGTGGGCTTGCGCCTCAACGTGGGCAGCACGACCAATGTGGTCGGGGAGACCAGCGCGGTACAGGCCGGCGTCTTTGGAGATCTGCAGATCCAGTTACCGGGCCTGACGGGGTCGTTGCAATTAGAATATGAAGCGGATCTCTCCGAGGATTGGCTGGAGCTCAGTATGACCATCCCGGGCAACAAGAAATGGGAGAACGCGCTGGGAGCGGACTCGTTCCATGTGAGATGATCGCGAGACCTGACCTTCCGTAAGAGTTTCCAAAGCTAACACCCCGCACTCACCAGCTGGACGAAGTCCGATTCTTCGCAAAGATCCCTCTTCACACAGCCGCCCCAGCAGACATAACAACCACCTCTGGGGATATCAGCTCTGATGTTATCGCTCGCCCCGACCCGCAAGCCCTGCTTTCCATTGCCGCAACAGCCAGATGGAAAGGCTCCGACGGGGCAGATGTTGGCCTGAAAGGAGTGATTGTCAAAGGACGACCCGGTGAGTCTAAATTGCATCAAAGCCTGGTTTGCCGCAAGATCTGATGTTCAGTCAGATCTCTCGTTTCTGGAAGGCCATATGGAAAAGGTCACATGGTCCGACATCAAGCGCCTCTTCAGCGATGTGCACGGCCGGGATCTCGACGACACCGAGCATGAGATTACCTGCGAGAATCTCACGGTGCGGATCTCGCAGGCTCAGTTTCTTCTGCAGGGGTCCTTGACGATCAATGGTCGAGCGTTGGCCAAGGCCACGATTGCGATCACGCGGGCGGGCATTGCCATCACGGCCGAGGTGGACAAGTGGGAAGTCGGCGACGGCCTCGTGGTCATCGAACATGCCGCACTAACCTTGCTGGTGGGCAGCAGCGGTGACGAGGACAGCAGTGCTCCGCGTCAAGCGGACGATGAACCGCCCACTAAGAAACGGCGGACTACCGGCGGTCCGGAGAAGGAGAGGAAGGGATGGAGTGGGTCCTTGGAGGTGACCGGTCGAGTACTCATCCACACCGATGGACAGCAAGGCAAGAGTGGACAGCCGCCGGTGGAGGTGGACGTCACGCTGGCCATGGGCAAACAGAACCAGGAGTGGTTCTGGGTGGTGTGCGGCCACCTCAAAGCCGATCTCTCCTTGAGTCGGTTTGTGTCGGCCATCGACGAGGACTCGGACATCGATCTGCGTCTGAAGGAGATTTCCTTGATTGCTTCGAGCACGAACCGTCCGACTTGTAGTCTGGACACAAATGGCTATACCATTTAGCAAGGCAGGTTATCCACCCTCACACGTTCTGTTCCCTTGTGAGGTGGAGACTAACAGCAATGTCGTGAGTTTAGGGCTCTATCTCTGTGCCAGGTTAGAGCAAGTACCGCTGCTGCAGATGGGCGACATGGTGAAGAAGCCCGCGGCGGGGGATCAATCGTACCTCAGCCTGGGTTGGGCCAAGGGGTCTAGCATTCCTTCCGTGTCCATCTACTTACCTGAGTCATTGAAGGTAAAGTTTTCCACATTGCTGCTCTGATCCATGGGGGAACCCGAGGTGCACCAAGGCTAACACAGTGGTTATGCGGGTAGATCGAGCTGGGGCCTCGGTTCCGGTCCCGTCGCTTCCAGCTTTCCCTGGGCAGCTCCGCGACCGGCGGGGTGGCGTTCGCATTCCGCGGTATCTTCGACGTTAAGGTTGGCGACGACAATAGCTGGTACAAGTTTGACCTGAAGATGGCCGTGGATCCGATCGGTGCGGATGGCGAACTGTAAGCATGCGAACCTGGATGTCCCAGTGCCATCGATAACCCTAACCCCTTTTGCCATTCTAGCTTTTTCGACGGCAATATCAACAATCCGTTCGGTCTGAGCAAGCGATTGACGATTGGTAAGCTCATAGTGTTTCTTTGTCTTTGAAAATGTGATAGACCAGCGAACTCACCAGACCTTCTATATCTCCAGGACCACGACTGGGCATCGGACTGAAGTTCAACTGGGCCCAACTAGCCGCCTCGGGTCTGCCTATCGGAGCTGGCATCAAGGGAAGCCTCTACCTGGATGACAACGTAGACAAGCCCTATGACCTAGTGCTTTACATCTGCGAGGATCCGCGGGACATGGTCATCAAGGCCGAAGCCCCGGCAATGGACTACACCGAGATCATCCAGTTCGTGGCCGCAGCAATGGATACCCAGATCCCAACGACCGACGTGACACTCTTCCGTTTCCAGGACGTGCTCATTTACGCCAGCATGGGAGCCACCTTTGGCGGAGAACATTATCCGGCTGGCTTCCGTTTCAAAGGCGGGCTGACCATCTGCGACCACGAGGCCGCCATGGACGCGTCCCTGACCACGGAGGGTCTGCGGCTCAAGGCGTGGCTGCAGACCTTCCGACTGGGGCCGCTCAGTGTCGGCGGAGATGTGGTCCTGCCGGGCAAGGAGGGGACCTTCGCGCTGCTGGACATGGAGCTGACCCGGGAACGGCAGGCGTTTGTGCTGAATGGGTTCGTGGAGCTCTTCGACCTGCGCGCGGCGGTGGACGTGCATATCCAGCTCCTGCCCGCCCCGATATTCTACTTCAACTTCGAGATGCAGTGGAGCACCTTGCTGGCTATCAAGGCCAAGGCCGAAATGGTCGGGGGAACCAAGCTCATGTGCAATCCCCGCGAAGCCAGCTGGGAGGTCAGTGCCGAGTTCGAGCAGACAATCATCCAGGAGATGGCCCGCAGTTTGGAGCGAGCTCTCAAGGCCGTGCACGAGAAGGTCGAGGCCAAGATCAACGGTGCCAAGCAGGCGGTTGCAGACGCGGAGCGAGTCTACAAGGAGAAGATCGCCAAAGCACAAGCAGATTTGGAAGAGGAGCGGGCCAAGTACCAGGCCGAGAATGACCGACTAGACCAAGAGTTGGATCGTCTGGAGCGGGAAACGCAGGCCCAGTCTGCCGTCCATCGCGACGCAGTCTTCGAGAAGAAAAAGGAGGAGTCGTCCGCCGTGGCAGAGGCCGAGACCGTCCGCGACCACACCATCCACGAGGCCAATGCGGAGGTCCAAGAGAAGGAGCGGGCCTTGAACAACGAGGAATCGCGGGGAACCAGGGAGCACAACGACGCCATCTCCGACCGCGAACGGAGGAGACAAGAATTCATGGCCAAGTTTGGAGATGCCGAAGCCGCCGTCCAGCGCGCGCGGGACAATGTGGCCAATGCCAAACGTAAGTGGAATGTCCCCGGTCTCTACCCTGGCGCATTGGGCTCTAGCCCGGTGTATTTATACTTCAGAAACGGTCGAGAATCTGCGCAGTCAAATTGATGGCCTGGAAAACAGACTGAGCGGCCTGCGATGGTTCCAAAAGGCTCTCGCCTTGGATACAGTGCGTCTTACCCTAGCCTCCGACTTTTCCCTCTCATGTATCTAACTGATTCTTTCTCGCTCCCAATAGCACCTGCAGATCGCCGCCCTCGGGATCCAGTATGGAACCGCCAAGGTAGGTCTGGGAGTGGCGGACGGAGCCCTCGAGCTAGCGCAGAAGATCATGCAATCTCAACTATTCCACGACCTCACCCAGGCCCTGCACCACGCCTGCGAAGCGGTCGAAACGATCAAGCGGCAGGTGGACAACGCCATCAACGCCGCGCGGGACCACCTGCACAACGCGCAGAAACTGCTGGATGTCGCTAAGTCCGCCGCGCAGGGCAAGTTCGACGAGGCCCGGCGGCAGGCGCGCGAGATGGTGGACACCGCGCAGAAGATCCACGACGACTACGTGGAGAAGCAGGAAAAGGAGTCAAAGAAACTCCGCATTCAGTTGCAGCAGCTGAAGAATAGTGGCCTGAGCGCGGGAGTGTCGCTCGCCGAGGGAGTGCTGGAGGCGGCGAAGAACAACAATGCGGCCTTCCTCGCGGCGCAGGCCGGCCTCGATGCCGTCAAGGTCGTCGAGGGCGCCATCTACGACACGCTGCGCACAATGATCGAGGCCGCAGCGACCCTGTGTGATATCCGCGTGGTCAGGCTCCGGGGCACCATCACCGCCAGACCGGAGGAGCAGTCCGCTTTCCAGATCTACCTGGAGGGCACGCTGGTCGGACAGGATTTCAAGTTCGATCTTGTGTATTACCCAGGCAAGACGATTGAGTTCTTGGAAGGTTTGGCCAAGGAGGCAATGGGGCACCTGAAGTTGACGTAGTGCTGGCGCTGAAGCGGGGACTGCGAAGGACCATTTCTGTAATTATCATGCACAGCTCTTTGTAGATTAGTACGGCAACAGGATGTATTATTAGCTTATTGCAATGTTTTTCGCACCACAGTGACTACTGTTAAAGGTTGGTGCTAGTTGGACAACTTCTTAGGTACCGATGGTGAGTGTAATAAGATTCACGAAAGGGCCGTCGAGAAAGGTAACAGACGAGAATGGGCAGCGGCAACTTTACTACTTCATTATAAATATTATCGGACTGAGAGAGTTGATTTCAGATTTTCTAGACCTAAAGTAGATAGTCTTGATTTAGTATTATAGCTTAGCACCAATAGTACATCATTCATTTTGTACTAAATATTGTCTCTGAATTATATCTGAAGAAAACTCAAGCGAACAGTCACTCCTCAAGAGAAAGATGACAAAACTCTTGTATGCTTAAGATAATTATCCGTCTTTTCATATGATAGACTGATTTTGATCAGAATGTCCCTTCCCTGGAAACGCCTAATCCGCTTCCGCGCCATTGACGGCCGCATCTTGCGCCGGGAGCCCATCCCGCCCGCAGAGCGCGAAATGGACCTGGGACAGAACACCGAAGCCAATCAACTACAAGCTCGAGTCCTCCAGGGTGAAGACACCCACGATACAACGGGTGCAATCAAGGTGATGAACGAGATTGTCAGGGTCCAACAGATTTTCCCCCGCTAGCCCCTAGCGACGTCCCATTCTCCGGTGCGTGGGCCTCCATTACCTCCATTACGCCAAGCACAGTACGTTACTCTACTCATTTTCCTTCGTCTGATTAGCCCCCCTCCTTCACAAGATAATAACACGGAGGCATTTCCGCGATCGACAGAGAAGCAGGATGCAAGCGCCCACCCTGTCCCTTTATCTTCTTCAAGCCGAACACCTGTGTACAGGACCACGGCGAACCCATCGTGATTCCGCCCATCGCCCAGAACGACCAAGCTGACTACAAAGGGGAATGGGAATGAGATGTCATCTAAG